TCACATTGATAAGAGTATAAAATTGACCAGCGGCCCAAGACGGGCCCGACCCGGCCCGTTGACAATGTGAATATTCACATTGACATGTTAACATTCACATTGATAGGAGTGTAAAATTGGTCCGCGTCTCGTGGCTGCCCGAAACCCGCCCACGGCCCATGGACGGCCCAGGGCAGGCCCGGCCCGACCTGTTGACAATGTGAATATTCACATTGACATGTTAACATTCACATTGATAAGAGTATAAAATTGGCCCGCGGCCCATGGGCAGCCAAAAGCCCGCCCGCCACCCGGGGCAGGCCAGGCCCGGCCCGTTGACAATGTAAATATTTACATTGACACGTTAACATTCACATTGATAGGAGTGTAAAATTAGCCCGCGCCTCGTAGCTGTCCGAAACCCGCCCACGGCCCATGGGCGGCCTAGGTCGGGCCCAACCCGGCCTAGCCTGTTGACAATGTGAATATTCACGTTGACATGTTAACATTCACATTGATAAGAGTATAAAATTGGCCAGCGGCCCAGGCGGCCCGACCCGGCCTGTTGACAATGTGAATATTTACATTGACATGTGAAAATTCACATTGATAAGAGTGTAAAATTGGCCCGCAGCCCAAGGCGGGCTTGGCCCGACCCGTGACAATGTTAATATCCACATTGACATGTTAACATTAACATTGATAGGAGTGTAAAATTTGCCCGCTGCCCAAAGCTTTCATGCTGCCCGGGTAGGTTCGGCCCGGCCCGTGACAATGTGAATATTCACATTGACCTCTTAACATTAACATTGATAGGAGTATAAAATTTGCCCGTTACCCGAAGCTTGCCCGCGACCCGGGGTAGGCCCGGCCCGGCCCGTTGACAATGTGAATATTCACATTGACATTTTAAAATGCACATTGATAGGAATGTAGAATTGGCTCACGGCCCGTGGGCTGCTCGAAACCTGTCCACGGCCCGAGGCAGGCTCGTTTCGATCTGGGCCCGAGCATGTCCGAGACCCTAGGTTAGGGCCTAGGTCATTACTTTGAAGCTCGGCCCGGTCCATCGGCCCGCTTAAGGCCCATTCAAGGCTCGGTCCGAGGCCCAGCCCGCCTGAGGCGCAATGTATTTTTTTGTGGAAAATAATAAAATTTTGGTAGAAAAAATTAAAAAGAATTAAAAAAAATGGCCAGGCCTGCCCAAGCCCGACCTAAGCTCGAGGCTAGGCCCAGGCCCACCGGTCCGACCCGAGGCTCGATTCATCGGCCCGTCCAAAGCCCGAATACCCTTGTGCTAGGGCTAGGGCCTGGGCCTAATTTTTTGGCCCGTGAACCAGCCCGACCAAGCCCGGGAAAGGCTCGTTTGGGCCTAGGCTCGAGCCTAGTCCGAGACCCTAGGCTAGCGCTTGGGCCATCACTTTGAAGTCCGGCCCGGCTTATCAGCCCGGTTAAGGCCCATTCAAGGCTCGGTCCGAGGCTCGGCCCGCGCCGAGGCCTAGTGTCTTTTTTTGTGAAAAATAATAAAATTTTGGTAGAAAAAATTAAAAAGAAATAAAAAAAAATGGCCAGGCTCGCCCTGGGCCGCCCACGGGCCATGGGTGGGTTTCGGGCAACCACGAGGCACGGGCTAATTTTACACTCCTATCAATGTGAATGTTAACATGTCAATGTGAATATTCACATTGTCAACGGGCTGGGCCGGGCCTGCCCTGGGCCGCTGGCCAATTTTATACTCTTATCAATGTGAATGTTAACATGTCAATGTAAATATTCACATTGTCAACAAGTCGGGTCGGGCCCGCCTCGAGCAGCCCACGGGCCGTGGGCGGGGTTCAGACAGCCACAAGGCGTGGGCTAATTTTGCACTCCTCTCAATGTGAATGCTAACATGTCAATGTGAATATTCACATTGTCAACGGGTCGGGTCGGGCCCGCCTTGGGCCGTAGGCGGGCTTTTGGCCGCCCATGGGCCGCAGGCCAATTTTATACTCTTATCAATGTGAATGTTAATATGTTAATGTGAATATTCACATTGTCAACGGGTCGGGCCGGGCCGGGCCCGCCTTGGGCCGTAGGCGGGCTTTTGGCCGCCCATGGGCCGCAGGCCAATTTTATACTCTTATCAATGTTAATGTTAACATGTCAATGTGAATATTCACATTGTCAATGGGTCGGGCCTGCCCCGGCCCGACTCGAATTTTTCTGGGCACCCACGAGGATCGACATGGGTCGGGCCCCTACACATTGACGATATGAACATTCACATTGACGGTGTGAACATTCACATTAGGAGTATTTTGGTAATTATGTCACCCATAGGACTTATTGAAACATAAGAAAATAATGTGAACTAAATGGAACATAAGTAGATGAAAATGGTATTTTGATCTTCTGATCTCAAATAGGACCTAATGGAATAGTCAAAAAGAATATGGGTTGGATGAAATAAAACTCTTGGAAAGTGGATTTATCAAAAAAGCTCACTTCAAACAACATATAAGTTAACCAATACAAAATAAATTGTATGACGACTTTTCCCTTCAAATGGAGCAACAATGTCTTCAATTGCCTTTATTTGGAATGAGATTCAAAATTAAACGTCAAATCTATCACAACTGAATAGGGACCAAGTGACACAAGCCCAAACTAGAGGGACGGTTAGTGTAATTCGCTCCTTTTTCTAATACATAAGAAGGACTCTATAGGTTGTGTTTGGTTCTTAAATTTATAGAGCGGAAAAAAATGAAGGGAAAAGTGAATAAACTAAACCTAAAAAAAATTCGCCTTTCCCTTCTCTTTTCTTTTTCCTCCACAAACAGCGATAAACACAAAAATTTCACCCTTTCTTACCCTTGAAGATATTTGTCATTTAAATCTGAGTGACAAGTTAAAATGTTAAATATTTTTTTTGGGAGCGCTTGCTTCATTCCAATTTCCACATACCAAGCAACTATGCAACCAGTGGATGTTCCCTTTGTATTTGGGGTTCCTTCACCGCAACTGTTCACCTTTCTCTAATTTTCCCAAAACAAAAAAAAATTAAAATTATACTGTGCAACACAACTGTCACATGAGCAACTCAACTGTGCAAAATTCCATGTCTGGTGTTGCCACAACACACTCAACACTGGTTGGATTCATGTTTACTTGACCAAAATTTCTCAACAAAATCTTACAACAGCCACATATGGCTGGTGTAATGAAGATGTGAGATTCTTTCACACATAAGTCCCTACTAATTTAATCTTTGATCCATTTAACCAGTTGGATATGTATTATGCTCATCAACCAGACACTTAGACAGACGATTTTAAGCAGGCCTAATTTGCTGCAGAGTCACAAACAACACTCAGTATTTTTGTTGGGGAGGCATATCCATGTGGTACCTCATCTCATATGGCATTCAAGGGACCACTATGCACTAGTCTCCTCACCACACACTCCATTTAACAATGCTAACCATATAGAATTTGCTCTCTCTCTCTCTATTTATTTTCTATTCCAACAATCTTGTTCTGCACAAGCCTTAGAGATCAATTACTTGCTAAGAGCAGTCTTCCAATTAAAAAAAAAAAATCAACCTAGAAATCATGGGTATCCAATGCCAGGGATTCCTCAAGTGAAAAAAGTTTTCAGAAGAGCTCTTTCTGCTCCAATGGCACGAAATGTACCCAAGGCCACCTTGCTGATTTAACAATGCTAACCATATAGAATTTGCTCTCTCTCTCTCTATTTATTTTCTATTCCAACAATCTTGTTCTGCACAAGCCTTAGAGATCAATTACTTGCTAAGATCACTCTTCCAATTAAAAAAAAAAAAAAATCAACCTAGAAATCATGGGTATCCGATGCCAGCGATTCCTCAAGTGAAAAAAGTTTTCAGAAGAGCTCTTTCTGCTCCAATGGCACGAAATGTACCCAAGGCCACCTTGCTGTTTATGTTGGAGAAACTGAGAAGAAGCAATATGTTGTTCCAATTTCGTATTTGAAGCATCCTGCATTTCAGAGCTTGCTGAGATGGGCTGAAGAAGAATTTGGGTATGATCATCCAATGGGTGGTTTTACAATCCCATGTAAAGAAGAGACCTTCATTGATATCACTTGCAGTTTGAATTGCTCATGAGCAAGAAACAAACAAAGACTCTTAACATCATTGACTCAGACTTTCTGTTTTTTGGATTCACACCATCATGAATTAGAATAGTAGGAATGTTTCTTGCGAAATCAATGTGAATATGCTTTCAGTTGAGAAGTGAATTGGGAGTTGAATCTTCATGGTAATTAAATAGTTTCACTATTCTTTTTTAGTTTAATCTTCAGTTCCGGAAATTTATCTATTTGATATGAATGGTCTGATTGCATTGAAGCACTCTTTGTTACTAAAGCCAAATCTTTGATATGTTGAAGAAGTGATGCAGCTAGGTTTTGGCCAATGTTGTTATATTTTCTTCGAAAAGCCCACGTTTAATCTGAAACAGCCAAATGAGTAAAACTCTTCGAATTTGTGTTTTTGCCATTTGTGTTTTCATTATTTTTTTCATTGCCAGATAACATAATGACATTTATCAGTACAATATGTAGCAGTAGTTTACTGATCCCATTGAACTAATTAACAAAATTGGAGACAAAGATAGCATAATTAGTTTTATCTTTGGAGTACTCATGGTGTTTCAACATGTAGTGATTTCACCATAAAGGTTTAATAAAGCATATATCAAGTCTTATTTAGCTTACTTACCCAAAAAAAAAAAAAAGTCTTATTTAGCTAAGATCAAAGAGAAAATTAAAATAAATTTCAAAGGGCCCCCTTCAGGCTGTGAGCAGAATGTGTAGGACACAATGCTCTCTATTCTACCAATTACTTTTTGTTATTTATTAGTCTGTGTCACTCTAAAGTCTTGACGATGAGTAGAATGACAAAACCATGTGATACTTCATGTGCTAATGTCACCAAACTATGCCCCATATATTTAAGATCACTCATGAATTCATTGCTCCTACTTACATATTATAGATCGGTCATGCAAATTTTTAATGGAATCATTACAAAAACTTTTGCTTTGAACAATCAAAATCATTCACAGGTCACCAACCCAAAGGAGAGTAGCTTCTTTGTTGATTAAAGCTCTAGTGAATAACAGTCATAACAAACATGATACCTCAAAATGACAATTTTAACCTCTTCACTCCAACCCTAATCTTTGGTAAAATGAAAAAGTACAATTCACTGATATTGCCTACTGGAGAGGCTACCCTGATGACAGCGTCAAAATCCATAACAAGTTCTTTAGCTGCTGCAGACCTCTTCAATGAAATTAACCTTTTTCAGTCAAATCGGATCCCTTTGGTTGTTGCTCTAGACCTGCTCCATGAACCCATAAATGTTGTAAAAACAGCCTTACATTGGTGTTTATGGTACTCTGTATGTAGTGACTGGTTCTCTATTTTGACTTCCTTCCATTGGAATTGTTAATGTTAACCATGACATCCTCAGAAATACATAGTTTTTACATAATTCACCAACAGATAATCACAGCCTATTTATACTCTATTGCTGATAATGGCTCCAAAAATTCCATAATTTAGCATATGCATTTTGCAATTCAATATCAATCCGTCATCCATGGCCTAGCTTTTGTACCCTAGCATATTGCGATAAGAGTGTCCAAAAGAATTTCATCAAATCTCTATGAGACATAATTGGTTAGGCAATGACTATTGATTCAGTTTTTTTTCTTGCTAAAACAACCATGACCAACATGATAAGTCCAAATAAGTGGAATGCATTTGTTTACCAATATTAACACTACAGAAGCTATACAAACAAATGGAAATTTCAATGCAATGAAGATTTTCCCTCTTAATGTGAGAATTATATTAATTTTCTTATGACATTTATCTCTACCATGAATCGATTGTGTGAACAATAAAAGGAAAAGAGAGAAATTTTGTACATAGAAATGGTAATTACTTCTTTACAAATGTGTTCTGCTGACGTATCCTAGCATTTCTTCTATAATGAATCATGATCGACCCAATCGAGAAGTGAGGTCAATGAAGATGTCTTCTTTGCAGGGAATGGTGAGACCACCCATTGGATGATCAAATCCAAATTTTTCCTCGGCTTGACTTAACAAGTCTTGGAATGAAGGTTGGTTCAAGTACAATAGCGGAATCACAAATCGCCTCTTTTTACTCTCTCCAACATAAACTGCTAGATAGCCCTTTGGGACATCTATTGCTGCTGATGAAGCTTCTTGGTTTGATTTCGATGATGAAGACTGTCGGAGGATTTGTTTAGCATGAATAATGCGAGGCATACGAATAGCCATTTTTCTGAATGAAAAAGGAAAAGAATAGACAGGACTTAGTAGAAGTGGAAGCTGTGGCAATGATGAATGTCAAGACTCAAAGACTTGTTGTGTTGGCTATGGTGTAGACTCTCTGCTCATATATGTGTGTATATATAGATCAAAGATGATGTGAGTTATCCTCTGAAATGTAGAATGAGTGATGAAGGGGGCATTAGAATATTGGGATCTACAGAGAGACATTAGCAACTGAAGGAACACATGGTTTTGTCTTCCAATTCATTATCAAGAATTTAGAGCCATAGAATGGAACAAACTGTTTGTTAGTTGAAAAACATCAATGCCCTACGACTTCCAAGATATGCTTCAAAGACAAGTGCCATGACCCAAACCCGCCCCTAAAAGTTTGGTTCATGACCGGCCCGTACATAGGCCTCAAACAGAATTAAGAATAATATTTAAACACATACGGGGCCTTAAGCGGAAGCAATATCAATAAAAGACAACATCCATTGAGCTTGTGCATACATTATGGTTTAATTGGATTTAAGCATTTAAATACATTCCCAGAGTTATATATATAATCACAGAATTCATATAGATCTCACACACTCTTACATAAGACTTAATAATTTATATGACTCCCAACACAAATTAAGGCCTCAACATGGAGGCGTACCCCAGGTGGCTTGGCAGACAGGTAGACCTCAATACAATTCTAGTGTCAATCTCCGATGGCTCACCTACATAAATATACATAAAAAAAAACGGAGTGAGCAAGGCTCAGTGAATAATAGCCATGTAAGGAGGTGAGTTAGACGGGTATAGGCTTAAAGAATGTAAACATGCATATCAAACCATACACAGATCTTATTCATAATCATATTTTAAAACGGCCTCAGATCCACATGTAACACAGAATGGCCTCAGGCCCATATATAATATAGAGCGGCTGTAAGCCCAGATATACGACAGAATGGCTGTAAGCCCAGATATAATACAAATCGGCTGTAAGCCCAGATATAATACAGATCGGTTGTAAGCCCAGATATAATATAGAACGACTTTAAGCCCAGCTATCAACAGATTGGCCTCTGACCCGAATATCAACAGATTGGCCTCTAGCCCACAGATATCAATAGATTGGCCTCTGGTCCAGATATTAACAGATTGGCCTCTGGCCCACAGATATTACAGAACGGCCTCTGGCCCAGTAAGCCCAGATATAATACAAATCGGCTGTAAGCCCAGATATAATACAGATCGGTTGTAAGCCCAGATATAATATAGAACGACTTTAAGCCCAGCTATCAACAGATTGGCCTCTGACCCGAATATCAACAGATTGGCCTCTAGCCCACAGATATCAATAGATTGGCCTCTGGTCCAGATATTAACAGATTGGCCTCTGGCCCACAGATATTACAGAACGGCCTCTGGCCCAGTACTAGCAAAACAGAATAATCCTTAGAATCATAAGAATACCATTATACAACAGTGCACGTACATTTCCCCATGGTTTATTACAAGTCGACATAGTTGTCTTGCGTATAACAGAACATTAACAATAACTATTAACAAAAGACACATGTATCACTACAATACGATTAATAGGGACAGAACAATTCACATCATAACGGCCTCGGGCGCACGTCTGTTACTAGGGACAGAACGACCTTAGGTCCATATCAATGCCATTATTCAAGCATATCCATTAATTGAATCAAAGCACAATATCAATGGAATATCCTCATCTTGACCTACAAACACAATGCACATAGCATTATAAGAACATACCCGATTCATTACTTTACTCTTTAACCAGTTGGTCAAATCGGTACTAAACTCATTAGCCTCTAATAATTCATAATCCATATCTCAGAAGATAGGAGAAATCGATAGGAAAATGGTTCAGACGAAGAAACGGTACAAACCGGTGAACAGAAAGTGAACAGTCATCACTAATTTGGGTATAACTATTTCTGTATTTAGAATTTGGGAGTGAGACCACCACCATTGGAAACTATACTTCCGGGGGCTTGATTTTATGCTCAAGAATCACTCAAAACGGAGTCTGGAGGTAAAAGATATGCTTATTCAAAGTTGGCTGAACAAAGCTGTCTCCCACACGTGCGGGAAACAGAGCCGCACGTGCGGCTATGGGCAGTTTGCAGTCCGAAAATGGCTGTATAATTTGGAACCTCTCATTTTCAAAATCAAACCTCAATTTCAGGCAAATCAAAGCCCAAAACCTTTTAATACATGATAAATTTCACATTATTAATCTCCATCAAACATCATAACCTCAAAACACTACTCAATTCCTAAGCACAAGAACACAAGGGCATAAAATTGCCATAGTTGGGGTTCAAAGTTCACATCTTTCATATCAATCCTTCATTTCATGTAATTGAAGCTTTAAACATAAGGATTCAAGATAGATGGTCATACCTTAGTTCAATCTTTGTCTTTCTCTTAGCTTTCTTCAATTTCCCCCAAGTTTTCCATGGGTGATCTTCTTTCTCTTTCTTCAATGCCCTTCAAGCATCTTTAAAACCACCATGAATATTGAGGAGCTTGTCTCTCTTCTCTCTCTCTCCTTTTCACGGTTTCCCCTCTCTCTCCTTTAGATATTTTTAGGTTCCAAGGGATGAGTTCAACTCATGCCTCTCATATACATATATACATTAAATATACACACTTATAAGTCTAACACAATAGGGAGAGCCAAACGCGGCCTTACAAATTGCGCAAAATCAAATTTCAATTAAACTTCCCAGATAACTCTAAAAATTATGCTGATCATAAATATGTCCTCTGTTCCGATTTCTGAAGCCTCGAAGGCCTTCAGTTTGCAATACAAAGTTAACCACCCAAACATGCATTAACGAATCAGACAAATTAGATTTCCAATTAATTTTTTCAAATAGTTCTAAAAATTTCCATTAACACACCCAAGTACTCAATTGTGATTTCTGAATCCGTTAAGGTCGGTAATTTCAATTTTAAAGCCGTGGCTCAACAGATAATTCCTCAATTTGAACAGATATCATTGAATTAAAATGCATTAACTCATAAGGCCATAAAAGTAATTTCGGATACGGATTTTGGAGTCGTTACACTAAGCTCTCTCTTTTCTCTAGGATGACATAAAATAAAGGTAATATATACTCAGTAAATGTTAAAATTAGTACTTGTTAAAATTATAAATGCTTTTCTTTTTTTTTTTTTCACAAAAGAAATAGTATGCAATCTTTCTTCTTTTTTTAACACAAAATAAATATTCAATGAGTTAAATAAGGTATGTTTCACATTATGGAGCTCCAAAACCAGTGAAAGATTGATCTATAGTTAAAAATGTCTGAGACTAGAGGATGCATTAACTTGCGTGACACCCCTCATGAAGTCCATGTGAATGATTATCTTTACTATTTGGAGTAATGCAGTGGATGCTAACAAATGATGGTCAAATCACAGGCAATGATTTGAAAGCAATATAATTAACCATTTCAGGAGACTTTGATATTTGCTGCATCAGGTCCTCCCAATTATCCCATGGAATTAATCATCACTTCTGCTGCTACATTTATATTAAATATATATATATATATGGCTGCTGCTTTATTTCTGGGGTGATATTATTCAAGGAAAATCAATATTCCATAACAAAACAATGACGGTGCAAATTATATGTCTATGCAGCCTACTGATTACAAAATTTTTAAAAAATAAAAAAATACAGTACTTTTAACAGACCATTAGCATCAAAGACTGATTCCTCATGATTTATGTTTCCTTCAGTCAGAGGGCCACTTTGTTGTTTATGTGATTCACAGTCCCAACATCATACTAGAGCCACTGTTCTTTGAAGACTCGCTATGTGAAACTCAGACAGATTGTCATCCAATGGATGCCCTCATTAGACAGTGCAACAAAAGGCTTTATTCATCTTTGGTTGCCCATTCCTGGTAAATATTTAGCAGAGGAAGAGGTTTTGTAATTTTATTTCCTTACTATTACTCTTTTGTATTTACCTGTTATGTTTCAACCCATAGAGTTAAATTGGTATGTCAAATTGCCATTACTAATTGGCAACAGCATTTTGATTCTTCTAGTGCAACATCAGAGAATTTCTTTCTGAAGAAAAATAAAGAAAGTGAAAAAGTAAAAAGCAGAGAGAAATAAGAAGAGTAAGCTCTTTGTTGTGAATGAATAGAATTGACTTCTGTTTTTTTCTACTGATACAAAATTGGAGAAGTTAGTTTTTCAGGTCAATGGAGTTGAAACTATATTAGCAGTTTTTTCCCTTCAATCTTGTGAGCCATTCAAACCCCACATGAGGTCAATGAAGGCTATTCTCCGCATGGGATTGTGGGGCCACCCATTGGATGATCATATCCAAACTCTTCTTCAGCCTGACTTGGTAAATTTTGGAATGAAGGATGATCCAAGTATGATATTGGAACCACAAATTATTTCCTTTTAGTCTCTCCAACATAAACAGAAAAGTGGCCCTTGGACACCCTAGAAGGCTCTGAAGTTCCCCGTGCTCGGAACAGAATCTGCTTAACAGGAACAATCCTAGGCAACCAGATACCCATGAGTGCTCGTAACTGTGATATTTGAAGAAGTAATGGCAAGAAATGGATCTCTATGGTTTTTCAAATTACAAGAAGTGTGTTGACACTGGAATGATATGCTGGGCTGGTATTTATACAGCAAACGCAATATGAACAACCACCATAAATGGAACAAGTGGTGAAGAGAAATCTGCAAAAAGGTCTTCATTATGCAAACCATATGTGGTTGTTTACAGATTTGGCTGAGAAATCATGGTAAAGTAAACACCAATGCAACTGGTGTTGACTGTGTTATGGCAACACCAGACACAGGATTGCACAGTTGAGCTGCTCATGTGACAATGTTCCTTGACATATGTGAGTGAGAACTGGTGATGATGTTAGAGCTTGGCCTGAATTGGGGAAGGAGGGTAGATTGAGTAGAAGCACTAACACAAAGCCTGATATATGATGTTGTCTAATGCTATCCTCTTAATCGTAATTGATCAGGACATCAAAACCAGTAAGGCTTAAATTGGAAAAAGGTTGATTCAAATATTTCAAATGATTGGCAGTATCCTATGAACCAAGGAAATAGGTACGGGTACGGGGTACCTTAACAGAAAAAACTATTAGAAGATAGGATATGGGTCAAAACTTTTTTTTTTTTAAAGAGGAAAGATGAAAAGAAGTGAACCCCAAGTCTGAGTACAAAGGGATCATCCAGTGGCTGCATAGTGTCTTGGTAGGTCGAAATTGGAATGCAGCAAGTGCTCCCAAAAGACCTATTTAGCATTTTTTTTATCGATCAGAGTTTGTAGAAATTTGAGATCTAAATCAGTGGTTGAGATGAGACTAACAAAAATTCCCATCATGTATAGTAATATCTTAAAGTTAGTATAATATCATGCATGCTGTTAGACTAGCAAGCACTGGAAGTTGGAACATATGAGTTATCGGCCGGCTCATATGACAATGTTGCTTAAGAAATACAAGGAATTGGTTATAATTTGAGCTTGGGGCCCAAATGCAGTGACTGCTAGATCGAACAGAAGCAGTACTAATAGTCCCTGTAAGCGATGGCTCTAATAAAGTTTCTTGCATTACGATCTGTATATACCCCCAAAATCAAACATTTTGACCACAATTGATATTGCATAAATTTCACATCTTGAAATGAAGACGTGAGTGAAATTTCACATCCTCAATGCATATTTCAGAACCATGAGCTCATATAGACTAAAACAACATAAGATTCACTTTGTAACCATTTCAGAGGAAAGAGTACCATGCAATTACAAAATTGAACTGCCGGGGACCATAATTTTAGATTCAGGAAAATAGTCACTCCAAATATGGCGGTAAGGCTGCATACTTGTTGCCTCCCTAGACCCCACTTTAGTCGGAGCCTCGTGCACTAGGTCACCTATTCTTTAGCTCCCAATACGTAATGTATTGAGATATTTGACCATTGAGTTTGCCAAATTGATGTTTTGTTGGTCCAGTTTTTTATCAGTTTCCTCTATGGATTTGTCTCCCTACAGCACAAGCACAAGCAATTCATAGGAATGCCTATTTCTAGCCAAATGATCCAGCACTGAGGCCAACAAAAATGCAGAGTTTTTCTATAATTTAAGGTTGACTTTTTCATAAATTTCATTCACTGAAATCCTCAGAAAAGACAGTTTTTCCCATCACGAATTTGTAGACATCGGAGTGGCAAGAACCTCCTCACATAGTTCACCATTAGATAGCAAATTGTATGTACTCTGTGTTGCTAATAGATTTCAACTGAGAACATAGACAAGAAAATATCAATGCAATGATGCTTTTGCCTTTAAATGTGAGAGAATTCCATTAATGTCTAATTATAATATTCTGATGACATTTTCTCTCTCTCCTTGGCGGCTGAAAGGAAAAGAAAAAAAAATGGTACATAGAAACGGTAATTACTGCCTTACAAAATTGTGTATGCTAACATATTCTAGCAGTGTTTCTATCATGAATCATGATCCACCCAATCGAGAAGTCAGATCAATGAAGATGTCTTCTCTGCAGGGAATGGTGAGACCACCCATTGGATGATCAAATCCAAATTCTTCCTCAGCTTGGCTTAACAAGTCTTGGAACGAAGGCTGGTTCAAGTATGATATGGGAATTACAAATCGCTTCTTTTCGTTCTCTCCAACATAAACTGCAAAATGGCCCTTGGGAACATCTACTTCTGCTGAGGTTGTTTGGTTTGCTTTCAATGATGACGACCGTCGAAGAATACGAGGCATACGAATAGCCATTGTTTTGAATTGGGAAGATCTTTATTCCTCAACACACGAAAGAGGAATGAAGGACTTGCACAACAAGTGAAAGTTTTGCAAGTGAAGAATGTGAAGGTTGTGCTGGCTTTAGACTTGCTGATGTGCTTATATATAGATCAAAGTTATGTGGGTCTACTGATGGCTCTAGCACATGAAAGATCACATGGTTTTGCCTTCCTACTAATCAATATCATGAATTTTGAATAGATTATATGTTAGAGAGAAAATTCTATATGGTTAGCATTCTCAAATAAAGTGTGTGGTGAAGAGACTATTGCATTATGGTCCCTTGAAGGTCAAATGACAAGAGGTACCACATGGATATGCCTTACAACAAAAAATACTATGTGATGTTTGTGGATCTGCAGCAAATTAGGCCAAATGGATGAAAAACTAATAGTAGGGACTTATGTGTGAAATACATCTAACATCTTCATTACGCAACCCATATGTGGCTGTCTTACATATTTGGTTGAGAAATTGTGGTCAAGTAAACACCAATGCAACTGGTGTTGACTGTGTTATGGCAACACCAGACATGGGATTGCACAGTTGAGCTGCTCATGTGACAATGTTCCTTGATTTATGAGAGTGGGATCTGGTGATGACGTGAGAGCTTGGCCTGAATTGGGAGTAACCTATGTAGCAAGGATACAGGTATGGTATGGGTACCTTAACATTGTATTGGTTGGGGAATTGAAGGAGGGATTTGGAAATGGAAAGGGAAAGGGAAAAGTTAGGTGAATTGTGAACAAAATATACCTACATTTCACTTAGTTTCACACACCTTTTCCCTTTTCCTTTCCAGATCCCTCCCCAAATCCCCCAACCAAACACAACATAATGGAAAAAAAACTTTTAAAAAATAGGATAGAGGTCCAAACTTTTTTTTTTTTTGAAAATTAAAGGAAAGATGAAAAGAAATGAAGGAACCCCAAGTCTGAGTACAAAGGGATCATCCAGTGGCTGCATAGTGGCTTGGTAGGTGGAAATTGGAATGCACCAAGTGCTCCTAAAATACCTATTTAACATGTTTTTGTTGATCATAGTTTGTAGAAATCTGAGATCTAAATCAGCGGTTGAGAGATGAGACAAACAAAAGCTCCCATCCTGTATAGTATTGTCTTAAAGTTATAGTATAATGCATGCTGTTAGACCAACAAGCACTGGAAAATATGAGTTATTGGCTGGCTCATATATGACAATGTTGCTTAAAAAAAGAAAGAAATGGTGCTAATTTGAGCTTGCGGCCCAAATGCAGTGATTGCTCAATTGAACAGAAGGAGTATAGAATCAACCTAACGTGTGAAATTGTTCTATGCTTCTAACTCTATAACTAAAATTGGCACGGATCAATAGTCCCTGTAATTCATAGTTCTAATAAAGTTTCTTGCATTATGATCTGTATATACCCTGAAAATCAAACATTTTGACAATAATTGCTATTGCATAAATTTCACAGCTTGAATGCAGGCTTGAGTGAAATTTGACATCCTCAATGCATATATAATGAGAACCATCAGCTCATATAGACTAAAACAACATAAGATTCACCTCACATTTCAGAGGAAAGATTAATATGCAATTACAAATTGATGTTTTGTTGGTCCAGTGTTTTATCAGTTTCTCTATGGATTTGTCTCCCTACAGCACAAGCAATTATTTGGAATGCCTGTTTCTAGCCAAATGAACCAGTGCTGAGGTCAACAAAAATGCAGAATTTTTCTATAATTTAAGGTTGATTTTTTAATATATTTAAATCACTGAAATCCTCTGAAAAGGCAGTTTTTTGCACATCAGGAATTTCTAGACATCAGGGTGGCAAGCACCTCCTCACATAATTCACCATTAGACAGAAAATTATATGTACTCTGTGTTGCTAATAGAATTCAACTGAGAAAATGGACATGAAAATATTGATGCAATGATGCTTTTGCCTTTAAATGTGAGAGAATTCCATTAATGTCTAATTATAAATTATAATAGTCTGACGACATTTCCTATCTCTCCTTGGCGGCTGAAAGGAAAAGAAAGAAAATTTGTACATAGAAACGGTAATTACTTTACAAAATTGTGTTTGCTAACATATCCTAGCATTGTTTCTATCATGATTCATGATCCACCCAATTGAGAAGTGAGATTAATGAAGATGTCTTCTCTGCACGGAATGGTGAGACCACCCATTGGATGCTCAAACCCAAATTCTTCCTCAGCTTGGCTTAACAAGTCTTGGAATGAACGCTGGTTCAAGTATGATATCGGAATCACAAATCGCTTCTTTTCGCTCTCTCCAACATAAACTGCTAAATAGCCTTTTGGGACATCTACTGCTGCTGATGAAGCTTCTTGGTTTGCCTTCGATGATGAAGACCGTCGGAGGATTTGCTTAGCATGAATAATGCAAGGCATACGAATAGCCATTTTTCTCAATGAACAAGGAAAAGAATAGAGAGGACTTAGTAGAAGTGGAAGCTTTGGCAATGAAGAATGTCAATACTCAAGACTTGTGTTGGCTGTGGTGTAGACTAACTTCTCGTATGTGAATATACATAGATCAAAGGTAATGTGGATTATCCTCTGAAATGTAGAATGAGTGGTGAAGGGATTGGGGTCTACAGAGAGACATTAGCAGCTCAAGGAACACATGGTTTTGTCTTCAAATTCATCATCAAGAATTTAGAGCCATAAAATGGACCAAACTGTTTGTTAGTTGAAAAACATCAATGCCCTACCACTTCGAAGATATCCTTCAGACAACTAAGCTCTCTCTTTTCTTCTAGGATGATATAAAATATATACTCAGTAAATATTAAAATTAGTACTTGTTAAAATTATAAATTCAAAAGGTTTATCTACAGTTAAATGTCTTTTGTGACCAGAGGATGCATTAATTTGCCCGGCACACCTCACAAATCCCATGTGGATGATTCTCTTCAAGTGGTCCTCTTTGCTATTTGGAGAAATGTAGTGGATGCTAACATATAATGGGCAAATCACTGGCAATGATTTGAAAGCAGTATAATTAACCATTTCAGGGGACTTTGTTTGATTCTTGTTTGAGGTCCTCCCAAATTATACCCAAGAGTGATCAACACTTTTTCTGCTACATTAACTTTGAATATGATTTTTTAAATTTTTTTATTTTTGCTTTATTTCTGGGGTGATTAGTCAAGGCTAAATACCAATCAAGGTCCACTTGAAATAACTATTTCCCTTTAGTAGTAAATTCTCAACCTCACCTTATTCTTCTATTTTTTGACTGATTGCTCAGCAAAACAATATTAGTTTTCTACCTGCTGGTTCAGTCATATACAGATCTTTACAACAAAACATGAACCTAATAATTCCAAAGGGATATTGCTTTATTTTGTTGTCTTGGCACTGATTTTAGACAAAGCTTCTCTCATATGGGGAAAAAATTAAAAAAAAAAAAATTAGAAAAAACTCTTATTTCTTCCTAAATTATGCATGCTATTATAAATACTATTCAAGGGGGCTGATTATTTTTATCTTTTATTTTTTCAAACTGAGGCCTTGTGCAGTCTCCATATTGGTTTGAACAAGCTCATTAATCAATAACCTAAAGCAGTCTGATTGTTTAAGAAACGTTTTTTGATTGAATGATACTCATAGAGAAAACAATTCAGGGTGGCAAGCACCTCCTCACATAATTCACCTTTAGACAGCAAATTGTATGTACTCTGTGTTGCTAATAGAATTCAACTGAGAAATGGACATGAAAATACCAATGCAATGATGCTTTTGGCTTTAAATGTGAGAGAATTCCATAACTGTCTAATTATAATATTCTGATCATATTTTCTATCTCTCCTCGGTGGCTGAAAGGAAAAGAAAAAAAAAATGATAGAAATGCTAATTATTGCTATACACATAGAAATTTCAATGCAACTTTAAATGTGAGAGAATTCCATAACTGTCTAATTATAATATTCTGATCATATTTTCTATCTCTCCTCGGTGGCAGAAAGGAAAAGAAAAAAAAAATGATAGAAATGCTAATTATTGCTATACAAATAGAAATTTCAATGCAATGAAAATTTTCCATTTAATGTGAGAGAACTACATTAATGTTCTGATGACATTTTTCTCTACCTCCTCAATGGATGAATTGTTTGTGTGAAGAAGAAAAAGAAAAGAAAGAAATTTTGTGCATAGAAATGGTAATTACTTCTTTACAAAATTGTGTTTTGCTGACATATCCTAGCATTTCCTCTATAATGAATCATGATGATCCACCCAATTGAGAAGTGAGATTGATGAAGATGACTTCTTTGCAGGGAATGGTGAGACCGCCCATTGGATGATCAAATCCAAATTCTTCCTCAGCTTGGCTTAACAAGTCTTGGAATGAACGCTGGTTCAAGTATGATATCGGAATCACAAATCGCTTCTTTTCGCTCTCTCCAACATAAACTGCTAAATAGCCTTTTGGGACATCTACTGCTGCTGATGAAGCTTCTTGGTTTGCCTTCGATGATGAAGACCGTCGGAGGATTTGCTTAGCATGAATAATGCAAGGCATACGAATAGCCATTTTTCTCAATGAACAAGGAAAAGAATAGAGAGGACTTAGTAGAAGTGGAAGCTTTGGCAATGAAGAATGTCAAGATTCAAGAATTTTGTTGGCTGTGGTGTAGAGTGACTTCTTATATGTGTATATATAGATGGAAGGTGATGTGGGTTATCCTCTAAAATGTGGAATGAGTGGCGAAGGGGCATTAGAATATTGGGGTCTACTGAGAGACATCAGCAGCTGAAGGAACACATGGTTTTGTCTTCAAATTCATTATCAAGAATTTTCAGCCATAGAATGGACCAAACTGTTTGTTAGTTGTAAAGCATCAATGCCCTACCACTTCTAAGATATGCTTCAGAGGCAACCAAGCTCTCTCTTTTCTTCTAGGATGATGTAAAATTTATACACGGTAAATGTTAAACTTAGTAGTTGTTAAAATTATAAATGCATTTTTTTTTTTTTCACAAAAGAAATAGTATGTAATCTTCTACTTCTTTTTTTTCTTTTTTTTTTTTAATGTGAAATAAATAATTGTTGAGTCAAATAAGGTATATTTGACATTATGGAGTTCCAAAAACCAGTAAAAGATTGATCTATAGTTATATGTTTTCTTTTCTATTTGGAGAAATGCAGTGGATGCTAACAAATGATGGGCAAATCACTGGCAATGATTTGAAAGCAGTATAATTACCATTTCAGGGGACTTTGTTTGATTTTTGTTTCAGGTCCTCCAAAATTATACACATGAATGATCAACAATTTTGCTGCTACATTTACTTTGAATTTTTTTTTTTTTGCTTTATTTCTGGGGTGGTTAGTCAAGGCTAATATACACATCATGACAAAACAGTGAAGGTCCACTTGAAATAACTATTTCCCATTAGTAGTAAATTCTCAATCTCATCTCATTCTTTCATTTTTTAATCGAGGGCTTGTTTGGTTTACACTATTTTTCTGAAAATTGAGTTTTTTTATTTTTTGTATTTTTTGTTTTTAGTGATTTTTTAAAATATTTTATGCAAAGTTTTTAATTGTTACATACAGCTAATCTAGATACACTTAAAAAGTATAATATTTGTTAAAAAAAAATAATTAAAATTAACCAAAAACAAAAAAATATGAAAATATAGTATATTTTTGTATTTTGTTGTATTCAATGAATTTTTTACAGATTTTTGTACAAATTTTATACTTTTTAAGTATATCAAGATTGGGTGAATCTAAAAATTAAAAAAAAAAAACTCTTATTTCTTCCTAAATTATGCATGCTATTATGAATAATATTCAAAGGGTCTTTGAGCCTTGTCCTGTCTCCATATTGGTTTGAACAATCTCATTGATCAATGACCTAAAACTGTCTGATTGTTTAAGCAACTATTTTTTATTCAATAGTACTCATAGAGAGGACAATTCAACTATAAATTCTTCAACACCCATTTTAGATTTTTTTTATGATCTTTAGTAGTTGGACAACCCTTTCCTTCACAAAAGCATTGTAGTAAAGCAACATTTTTTTTTTTCCAAAGAAAAAGAAAACAGTAAAGAGAAAGAAGAGTAAGCTGTTTGATGTGAATAAATAAAATTTAATTATATTTTCCTTTACGAAACATATAAAATTTCGACATTGGATTTACATGAGATGAAACAAACAGATTCTACTGATACAAAATTGGGAAGTTAGTTTTCCAGGTCAATGGTGTTGAAACTATATTAGCAATTTTTTCCTTCAATTAAGAAAATGAACATGTAAACAATCCAGAATCTACAAAAACACAAAAATTCAATGGAATGAAACTTTTGCATTTAAATGTCAGAGAATGCCATTAATATCTATCTATAATCTTCTGATGACATTTTTTTTTCCTCCCTCCTTGTGAAAAAGAAAAGGAAATTGTGTGTTTGTACATAGAAATGGCGATTACTGCTTTGTTACAAAATTGCGTGTTTGCTAAACAATGCTAGCAAGTGTCCTCTATGATGAATCAAGATCCACCCAATCGAAAAGTGAGATCAATGAAGATGTCTTCACTGCAGGGAATGGTGAGACCACCCATTGGATGATCAAATCCAAATTCTTCCTCCGATTGGCTTAACAAGTCTTGGAATGATGGCTGGTTCAAGTATGATATGGGAATTACAAATCGCTTCTTTTCGCTCTCTCCAACATAAACTGCAAAATGGCCCTTGGGAACATCTACTGCTGCTGAGGCTGCTTGGTTTGCTTTCAGTGTCAGATTGGCTTAACAAGTCTTGGAATGAAGGCTGGTTCAAGTATGATATGGGAATTACAAATCGCTTCTTTTCGCTCTCTCCAACATAAACTGCAAAATGGCCCTTGGGAACGTCTACTGCTGCTGAGGCTGCTTGGTTTGCTTTAAGTGATGACGCCCGTCGAAGGATATGAGGCATACGAATAGCCATTTTTTTAATTGGGAAGATATGTATTCCTCAACAACAAGAAAGAGGAATGAAGGACTTGCACAACAAGTGAAAGCTTTGCAAGAGAAGAACGTGAAGGTTGTGTTGGCTTTAGACTTGTTGATGTGCTTATGTATATATCGAAGTTATGTGGGTCTACTGATGGACTCTAGCACATGAAGGATCACATGGTTTTGCCTTCCTACTAATCAATATCATGAATTTTGGATAGAACATATGTTAGAAAATTCTGTTTGGTTAGCATTCTCAAATGAAGTGTGTGGTGAAGAGACCATTGCATTGTGGTCCCTTGGAAGGACATATGAAATGAGGTACCACATGGGTATGCCTTGCAACAAAAAATACTACGTGATGTTTGTGGATCTGCAGCAAATTAGGCCAAATGGATCAAAGACTACATAGTAGGGACTTAACATCTTCGTTATGCAAGCCATATGTGGCTGTCTTACAGATTTGGTTGAGAAATTGTGATCAAGTAAACACCAATGCAACCGGTGTTGACTGTGTTAAGGCAACGCCAGACAAGGGATTGCTCAGTTGAGCTGCTCATGTGACAATGTTCCTTGACATATGCGAGTGTGAACCCGTGATGATGTGAGCCTGACCTGAATTGGGGAAGGAGGGTAGGTTGAGTAGAAGCACTAACACAAAGCTTCATATATGTTGTTGAAAATCCTATGTGATTTATGATTAGATCAAGATTGACTTATTCCAAATCCCAATAAATCAAAACACTCAACCTAAAATCATCAAACACTTACGAGAGTGATTTTAGTTTGTTTGTTTTTTGAGAATAAACAATAAATTGACACAAACGATTTTTTACGTGGAAAAAACCACAATTGAAGAGCCTTCAATTGTAATCAAAAACCACGGGCGAACCGCCACTAACAATCCACTACTGAAGAACAAAAAGATTACAAAGAAATCATACAAATCACCCGACACTAGTCAATTTGTCTCTGAATCTTCTGTAACTCTTTTCACCACACCTTCGTCACGGAATTGATTCTGAAGTTGATTCCACACCACAACTTCACTTGTCGAATTAACGACTGCGTAGACTCAAACGCCTTTTGGATCCTACGCTTTGATCTTCGGAATCCACCGAAGAGAACTCACTTGAAACTTAAGAAGCAACCTCCTTGATGTATGAATCTCAATGCATAAGTTCAGAACTCACTTAAGAACATCAAGGAAAACTCTCAAAAATCTCCCAAGAAGACTTTAAACACAACCCTAGTTTGTTTTGATCAGATCTAGGAAAACATGCCCAACAAAACAACGTTAGCAGCTTTAAATAGGAATCTGAATCGCGATCTCCGCTCGAGCTCAACATAGCCCGCTCGAGCGGACTGAACAAAAACTGCATACGAAGAAACAGAGATGCGCTCGAGCGTAGGAGTTTCCGCTCGAGCGTAAAATCACACCCACCAGTATCTGTGCTTGCCCTGTCAAACTACTGTGACCTGCTAATTTACGCTCGAGCTCAAGAGTCTCCGCTCGAGCGTACAGTACAAAAACAGAAAAAAACATAGTTTTGAATCAACACAAGATTTTGTCTCCGGATTTGACAACACAGGGACCTAACAGTTGTCTATGATGCTATCCTCTTAATCGTAATTGATCAAGATACCAAAACTTGTAAGGTGTAAATTGGGTAACGCTCGGTTCAAGTAATTAAAATGATTGGCAGTATCTTATGAAGAAACGATACAAGCAAGGGTACAGGTACGGGTACCTTATCAGAAAAAAACGCACAGGCAGAATAGATGGCTTTAGCAACCTGTAACAGAAAGAAAAAGCTCCGGCGGTGGTTCTTCCACCCGGGGACACTCCGACGATCAAGTCAGTATATCTCTCAAAGATAAATCAAGTGCTAAACTGAATACTCAAAACATAAATTGCATACCTTAGACCCATGGGGGTGCCTCTCTTTTATAATATACTCAATCCAAGTCCCAATAGAAATATGACTTCTATGAACTTCATATCAATGTTTACTTTGGATTCTTTAAGAGATAAAGATAAACTCCCTAAGAGCTTTATCCTTATCTTGGTTAAGTCCCCTCTCCGTCTTAGGACTCTTATCCCTTATCTCGGATTCCGATATCTTCGGGGATAACCTCGGCTTAACTACCAGGACACGTGGCACCTCGGCTGACACGTCGGCGTCACCATGCCACGTGTTGGTATTCAGAAAATACATCCCCACAGTTTCTAACTCTAACTAAATTTGGCATGGACCAATAGTCCCTGCAAGCCACTTGCATTATCATCTGTATATATCCCGAAAATCAAACATTTTGATAATAATTGCTATTGCATAAATGAATGCTTGAGTGAAATTTCACATCCTCAATGCATATTTGAGAACTATGAGCTCATGTAAACTAAAACAACATAAGATTCACCTTGTAAACATTTCAGAGGAAAGAGTAATATGCAATTACAAAGTTGAACTGCCGAGACCATAATTTTCAAGTCAGGAAAATAGTCTCTCCAAAAATGGTGGTAAGGCTACAAACTTCTTGCCTCCCCAGACCCTACTTTAGTGGGAGCCTCGTGCACGGGGTGATGCAGGACAAGATTCTAGAGTTTTCTATATTTTTATTTTAATATTTTTTAATGTTGTATTTAACAAGCATTCTTGTAATTTAGCTAGAATTAGTAGGTTTCTTAATTTGTCTTTATTTTGTTTTCCTAATTTTTGGTTACTTATTCTCCAATATTGAACTAGTTAAGTTGTTTTCGAATTCTAGATTATTTGGTCTCCAAGAATACTAGGGCTGTAAGGTTCGGATTATTATAAATAGGTATGTAAACCTCATGGAAAAGACCACTTTTTCATATAATTCAATCCCTGAAATCCTCAGAAAATACAGTTTTGCACATCAGGAATTTCTAGACATCAGAGTGACAAGCAGCTCCTCACATAATTCACCATTAGATTGCATATTGTATGTACTCTGTGTGGTTAATAGAATTCACCTGAGAGAATGGACATGAAAATCACATGGTTTTTCCTCCCCAGTAAAATTATACAATTTTGATTGTTTTCATGTTGTAGCTCTTTGTTGCAATTTTTATGTGGTCAATCATTTAAAGGAACAACTAAACAGGTCCACCTGACATATGAATTGTCAGTTCAACCATCTGCTATCAACACTAGCTAGCAGAACATATGAGCTATCAATTCATAAGAAAATGTCGCATAAAGAATAGAAGGAATTGGTAAAATTGTTTTATGCAGGTATCATCTAGACCCCAAATTGGTTCTGACAAATAAAAAGTTTCTAGTGTTACAATTTTGATACTATTTCTCAGACCGACAATGCTACGTAACTCAAATTTTGTGGCTCAAAAGTGGTTCAAATGGCCAAAACGACGTCGTTTTGAGTACAAAATAACATAAAAATGGCCAAAACGACGTCGTTTTGGCCATTTGAGCCACTTTTGAGCCACAAAATTTGAGCTACGAGACATTTTCCTTCTCCGACTATCATGATCATCACATTCAAGCCTTATTTTTGGCAACTTAGACAAGGAATTCAATGTTAAGAATGAATACTTTGGATTCAGAGGTCTTTCGGTTTGAAGATGATCTGTACAATATGAGTTGGGTCCGCATAACACAAGATATTTTACTTTCAAAGAAATAGGTGCTGCAGTAGTGAATTAGGGGAGTTATATAAACCTAAATAGATTGCATTCTCTAAGTGATGCCTTGAAGGGTTCCTGATTTCATTGTTTTGCTTGGTCATAAGAACATAACTGAATGAAAACTACACATGACCTCCACAGACTTGTATCCCTACAGAACATGAGCAAAGTCTCTGAAATGTCCATTTCGACCATCCTAATTCTAAAGGAAGGCAGTCTCTATAAGGTCTTTTTTACAACATTTATTTTTGTGACATTTTTGTTTTAAAAGAGCAGGCTTACAGATAGAAAACAGATCTAATCAGACTGAAACCAGTGATAATTTCATTGAAGTGTCATGCAGCAGCAGCTGAAGAACATGTTATGGATTTTGATGCTGTCATTATGGAAGCCTCTCTAGCTAGTAGCCTAGTAGGCAATATACAAACCAAGGTAATATCAGCAATGAAAGTAAATTGATATGTAAAAGAGTGATTCTACTTTCACCACAAAACTATCTGCTTACACCCTTAAAATATTAAATTGTCATTTTATTTTGAGCATTACTATTAACCCCTACCTTTCTTCTTAGAACCCTCACCTTCTTCACTTTTTTTTTTAATTCCAGCTTTGTCCTAATCTAAAGTTCCACTTTTACCCTCAGTCCTAATCTTCTGCTCCTAATTTTCCAAACTCTAACTCTAACCCTAATCACTTCCGGCAATTCCACCATCTCTGACCACCACTCATCGCTGCAACCACCCCTCACTATCGCAACCACCACTCCCTCCGTCGCAATCAACCACCACCTCCACCGGCAAGCATCGCTAGCCCCTACTGCAGATCTGAATTAGAGAAGAGAGATCGACCCACTCAGCACCGTTTTATTGAATTAAAAGGATTCGTTCAACACTGTGTCGCCGAACATTCAAGATTCGTTCAGCATTGTGTTGTTGAACCCACTCCGCCATCGTGACCTCCCCGTCTATTGCGAGAGAGAGAGAGAGAGAGAGAGAGAGAGAGAGAGATGAAAATCTAAGGTTTTCAGAAGAAAATAAAGAAGAAAAGAGAGAAGAGGGAGAAGGAGAAAAGAGAGAAGAGGGAGAAGGAGAAGGGCAAGACATACGACCATGAAATCACTCGCCATAGCTTGTGATAGTGGTTTTAACGGTGGCCATTTTCCTGTTGCTTTATTTCTTACTCATACTTGATTGGACGGCAAAAAAACAAAGAAAACAAAAAAAGAAACAAGATTAGAGAGAGAAGTGGAAGGGATTAGGGTTTGGGCTTGGGTTTGGTTTTGGCATTAGGGGTATAGTTCCTATTAAGGAAGGGGTTCAAAGAAAAAAAAAAAAAAGACTTCATTTTGTTGTGGGGGGTTTCAAAGAAATGTGAATGGGCCAAAATAATTAGGTGGGGCAAATGGATATTGAGATTTTTTTTTTGTTTTTAAAAGATGTGTATAAAATTTTTTTTTATATAATATTATTAGCGTATGTCTGAAGATAAGGTATAAATAATGTTAGGATTAAAATATAATTGTAATACCAATACTATTTAAATTTATTTTTTAATTTGATAAAATCACAAATTTATTATAAAATTTTAAAGTTCTCACAAAACTCCCCACGAAAACTCACTTTTGCTTATATAATATATAGTTAGATAGATAGATATGCCTAACATACATATAATTTTCACAGGCATACATACAATACTACTTTTGTTTATATAATTACTAGCGGTAACCCGTGCGATGCACGGAAAAATAGACTATATATATTTTGTGTGTCACTTGATAACATAAATAACTTGTATCAAACTAAACAAAACATTAAAAGAGAGAAATTCTATAAGCTCAGAAAAGTTATCATAAATTTATTTTGGACTTTTAAATCAGTGTGTAATATTATTATTGTGGGATCAAATTATGAATAAATATCAACTTTTTAATTAATTTATAAGTAGTTTTTTAAAAAAATTTAATCTAAATTTGTTGCTTTAACTTATAAAAAGAACTTCTCAACAAATCATTATTGATTATATTACAAACTCTCTATCTTTGATTTCCTCTATCAATGACACACTCATATCATATCAAAGTATATAATCATTCTCCTTAGTTGAATAATACTTGCATGTTCTACATCATTTAAAAATTAATCAAGATAAGAATGTCATAGTATTATAAAAATTATATAAGAGAATAGTTTAATCCATTTAATTTATAAAAAAATGAAAGATAAAAATTATTTGAATTGTACTTGAAAAAATATAACAAATGATAGTTTTAATCATTATATACCCAAAAAAAAATTATATCGGTTACTCAACGAAAAAATGGTCAACAATACAAATAGAGTCATGAACATTAAATTAAATCATATGGCTCTAAATTGATAGTATAATCTAGCAATCAAACTAATAAAAACATAGAGATATTGACAAATTGTAGTACTTCCCTATCATCTTTGTATTATTATTCATTAATTTCATATTTATTATGAAAGTTTTATTTCGTCTCGATCTTCAATAAAATAAGGATCAAGAAAAACAAATTGGATAAGAAATTGATTCTAAACTTAATTATTGAAAAAAACACAAAAATTTCAAAGAGAGCAATTTAAGAGATGAGATTAAAGAAATACTATAACGAATGATAGCCTTATAGAAATATTAAAAAAAAAAACATAACAATGATCTAATGCAATTTTTTTAAAACTAATAGAAAGAATCTCAAATTATTACCTTTTTATAAATATAGTGAAAAAATTTAATTTTGTGAGATTTTTTGTGCTACCTTCTCCCATGTAGCTTTATTATTTCATTATGATACTATTCTCATTCAGAGAGATAATTTTTTTTATTTTTTTTTTATAATCTTTATCATTTGGTAGATAATAACGAATAATAAAAATTATCAGAGAAGGTTAATAATTTAATAGGAGATAAGAAGTTATAGATAAGAGCATTTCATAAGATAAAAAATTTAAAAATAAAAAAGAATATTGTGATAGGAGAAAAAAAATGAGTAAATCAAATAAGATTTAGATATATATGTTTTTGATAGATATATAGATTAACAAATCATATCTTTATCTAAATTTTATTATTTAAAATTTTGAAAATCAATTATTTAATCTTTATCTTTTCTGTAGGCCACGAAATTAATCTTTATAATTATTTATCAATTTTTTATATGTTTATTTATCTATAAGTCATGAAATTATTTTTTTTAAATAATTTTTTAAAAATTTTTATCTTTATCTATAGGTCATGAAATAAATTTTCATAAATTATTTATGAATGTTTATATGTTTATCTATAATGAAATCAATTAAAGTACAAAATGAAAGGGGGAAAAAAGGAGTAATTTCGGTTTTTTTTTTTTAAATCAATTTTTTAATCTTTTTTTTTTTTTGTAGGCCATGAAATTAATTTTTATAAGTTATTTATCAACTTTTATTTGTTTATTTATGGGAAGAAATTTTAAATTATCTATAAGTTATAAAATTAATTTTTTTAAATTAATTGTTTATTTTTTATCTTTATCTGTAGATTATAAAATTAATTTTCAGTTTTTATATGTTTATCTATATGGAGGAATTTTGAAATTCAAATCTTTATCCATAAGTAATGAAATTAATTTTAATTTTAATTAATCAAACAAATAAAAAATGAAGAAAAATAGAAAACATGAAAGGCAATCAAATAAGGTTGCCACGTAGGAAAGAGAGTGTTTTAAATTTTGATAATTTAGGAATAAATATTTGGAGGTTTTTGACAAAATAACTACATTTGGTTATATATATAGTATAGATAGATAGATATGAAAATTGTATGTATGTGTAAAACCCTAAAAATGCAAATTATAATTATCTGAATTATTCATGTGTTAATTGCGGATTATATGATTTAATTTGTGTATATTTGTCTAAATTGAGAAATTATTTGTTGAGAATACAACTTTAGAATTGAAATTGATGACATAAATGGGTTCAGAAATCAAAATTGAGTACAAGGATATGTTAATTGGAATTTTTAGAGTTATCCAGGAAGTTTAATTAAAAACTGATTTCGTCTGATTCGCTAATTTTAATAGGTTGGGATTAAATAATTGAATATGAATTAGAGCTTAATACACGCTAGTATGATTTAATTTAGTGTAATTGAGCTTATTAGATAATGAGTAATAATTTAATTTGAATGAATTTGGGTTAAAGCAATTTATTAACCTCGTTAATTTAAGCCAAAGGTATGGAGAAAACAAAATTTATAATAAAATAACTAAATGAACAATAGTAAGACTCCCACTTATTAATTGAATATGGAAGAGAGGGGGCTTTGGTGGCCTCAGGAATATACACGTAGAGAGAGAGAGTGAACACTTACGCAAGAGAAGGAGAGAGCTCAAGGAAGAAGCAAGGAAAGCTTAAGGAATTCCTGAAAGCCCATTTGATTCTAGGTAAGCAACCTTCTCTCTAATCTCATGAATTTGAAGAAATAGGTTCATGAATCATGAGATTCAAGTTGAATCACGGGATTCAAGTTGAATCACAAAGAAAGTAGATTGATATGAAAGAATTGTGAATATAGGTAGACCATTTATACATACACAGTTTCTATGAAAGAAAAAGAGTGAACTAACCCTTAATCCTACATGCATGGCATATATGATGAGTTTACACTTTAATTTCAAGAGAGCAATGATTCTAAACTTATTTTCAAACATGATTCATGGAGTTCAAGGAGAGATTAAGCATGAATTAGAGCTTGGGTTCAACAAAATGGATGTTTTATGAAATTGAGTTTCAAAAATGGAAAAATGGGTTTAATTTGATATTTAGACATTTATAAGAATTCAATTAAAAATTTGATTTCGGTTCATAAAATTAGATGTAGTCAAATTAAGCCTTAATTGAGATTAGGCTCAAGATGATGGAAAGATTAATTATTTGGGCCTTGATTTGCTTGAAATGGAGTTGAAATTGCAAAATGTGCATATTCATGAGTTTCTGATTCAGTAATTTAAACATGACTGAATAATTGTAATTTAATGTGTATGAGCCTAATTTAAGTTTAATTGTGTAATTAGTAAACTTAATAAGAGTTGGTACATGATTAGATTATTTATATTTAATTAGTTTGGTTAATACATGACTAAACATGTTTTAATTAGAGGTTAAAGAAAATTAATGATCTAATTAATTCTTAATTCTAGTCATTCATATTTAAAAGCTTAAGTGAACTAAATATGTTTAAGATGATTGTGTATCATGCTATGCATATTTGTGATTGTAGGTCACGAGTCAAGGACTGCTTAACCAACTGTTCTGGAAACCCACTGTGAGTAACGTTATTGTAAAGATATGTTCATATGAATTATGTTCCAAATGTGATTTGATAAGTTATAATTTCTAAAATGATATTTGTTTATGTGAACGAATGTCCTATGTTTGAAATATATTATGGCATCCATAGATAGTCCCAAGTCATGAGAGACGGCATGTTAATGCAGGTCCATGACATATATGTGATTACGAGATCTTGTTTGCCACTTCATTGTGGTGATATGTGTTTAATTGGTATCCGGAACTGATTACTCTAGTCGGAAGACAATATGTGATATGTTCTATGAGATGTACCATTATATTATGTTCTGATATGAGACTGATATGAATGATCGCGTCATGATTTGTTTTATGGATATGATATACTTGGAATTCGTTCACCCTTTACTTTAATGTTATTCGCTGGGCTTTAGCTCATTGTTTTTATATATATGTATAGGTGAGCGTTATGGAGGGCAAGCCTAGAAGGGGTCTTTAACTGAGCCACCGTTTTGAAGCCTATTGTTGTTTTGTGTGCCTCTGAGTTGGGGCTAGGCCTGGAAGGCCATTGTCAGGCTTTTGATCGTGAAGTACACTTTTGTTATGTGCATATGTTATGTATAAGATGTTAAGTTATAAGTTATGAACTGAATATGGGTAAATTAACGTTTTTGCATGTAAGATGCACAACTCATTGGACTATTGGTGTTTTTGTATATTGCTTCCGCTAGCCCCAATTATTTATGATTGTACAGGAAGGCCTTTGGTAATCTCAGATTGCTGGCCGGTTATGACGCTAAATTTATAGGGGCGGGTTTGGGTCGTGACAGTATGCCCGTAATGTCCCAGTGTATTACGGGCATACAAACATTATATGGAAATATGAGTAAAATATATTGAACAAAAAGAAAAAAATAAAAATAAATAAACAAATAAAGAGAAAAATAAAAACGGGAGAAAATAAAATAAAATAAAAAGAGAGAAAGGTGGGATCATGGGATCATGGAAGGATGGGTGAAAAAAAGAAAAAGTAAGCGAAAGAGAAGCGGGAAAGTCGAAAATGTATATGTAGGATATTTTTTGAAAAATATATCTCAGCTATTGTTTTATAATTTAAACAAATCTGAGACATCCAAATGTTCTAATAGGACAAAAAGATGTTGAAGATTCATATGAGGTCTAAATTTATGAAATCTATCTAAGTATTCAATATATTTAAAAATAATAATCAATTGTTCAAATTCATTTAATTTGTGGATTATAAAATTCTTTAATTTAATCCCCACTACACATAGTAAATCTGACTCCTAATTCTAGGATCGCAGACTTTTCCATGTAATATGAATAAAAATAAGTTAACAAAAATGAGAAAATAAAAAAATAAACAAATAGAGAGAAAAATAAAAATGGAAGAAAATAAAAAAAAATACAAAGAAAAGAGAGATGAAGATCGGATCATGGGATTATAGAAGGATTGGTGAGAAAAAGAAAAGGTAAGAAACAGAAACGGGAAAATAGAAAATGTACATGTAGGATATTTTTTAAAAAATATATCTCAACCGTTGTTTTATAATTTGAATAGGTCTGAGCCGTTCAAATGTCCTAGTAGGACAAATGTGTGTAGGACAAATTCAAAAACCATCCTACTTTATTTTATAGATGGGTGTTGCTGGATGTCTATTATGATCATTTTTATTTAAGATATAATTGTTACTAAATTAATATTTCATTAAGTGTGTGTCCTGAGCTAATTAGGGGTGTGAAAATAAAATTTCCCAAATAGTAGCCCTCTTTATTTTTTTTACAATTTTCATAATACCAATTTTACCCTCATCCTTACTATTGACTCTTCTCCTTACAGTTAAAACTTTCAAACCCTAGTTTCTTCACCTCTACTTTATCTCCACCACCTCCACCGGTCCACCACTTCGCTACTCTGCCATCACTATGGTTCGGTCACCATCAGTGCTTCGAGTCTCATGGCCTACTCCATTCACAGACAAAACCTTCTCCTCTTAAGGTTCAATACCCAAATCATGTAAGAACACAAGCAAATCTCAGACCACGGGATAAAAAATTGTCAACAATAGCTACACGAATCGATACAATGTTTTTGACTTCTGAAAAATCAACTGGGATCAATATTTGTCCACATTCGGGGACTTTATTTTCGGCTAAAAGTTACCAAAACCAACCCACAGTGTGAAAACTTTTGATTATCAGTCCTGAAGGAGAGATATGCAAGCTGTTGTTTATTAGTAAAAATCTAATTTGTTTTCTCTCTCTCTCTCTCTCTCCCCTGATTTTGAGTGATACGAGCTTTGCAAGAAACCAACCAATGATGTGTCGAAAGATGAGAGAGATACCAGACTACAATTTTAATGATAATCTAGTTTATTTTTTCTTCCAAAAAAAAGTCATATAAGAACAAAAATACGAACAAATAATATAAGAAGGAAGATTTGAGAGAAAGAGAGACAGATGTAGTGAAAAAAGACTTGGAGTTTTAACAATATGGAGTGTCTGCGATAGTGGTTATTTGGTGGAGGTAGTAGTGATGAGGTGGAGGTGAAGAAACTAGGTTTGAAAGGGTTGGGTGTAAGAAGAGTCAATGGTAGGGATAAGGGTAAAGCTGGTATAATGAAAATTATAAAAAATAATAATAATAATAATGAACAAAATAAAATTTTAATATTTAAAGGGTGTAAAGAGATAATTTTGTGATGTAAGGGGAATCACTCATATGTAAATTGAACTTAGGAGGGAAGAAGGCAAAATTGTCATTTTGAGAAATCATGTCGGTTATGATTGTGATTCACTAGAGCTAATTGTTGGAATGGTTATAAAATTCTGGATAAAACCAGAATTTTTTCCTAAGTTCGGTCTATTTTTTAGGTGGGCCCCGAGTGTCGATTTACTCGGGTCAAAGTGGTAACGCGTTCTATGCCGCGTTGTGATTCACGTGGTATATTTGGTTGCTCAAAACCATTACCGAGTGAATAGGAAATTGAAGCCAAAGTGTGCTCCATGGAAATGGAGTTTTGGTGGAAATTCCTTAAGGTTGTAAATTGGCTTGTCCCACATTGATTTGGTGGGAGGTTTTGAAAGGGTTTATAAGGCTTAGGGTGAGATACTTGGGGTGTGCCCCAAGGGGTACCCAAGTGTTTTAGAGGGAGAGGTTATGGGCAAAATGGGCTAGACCCATTGGACCCAAAAATCACCGCACCCGCGCCAAAAACATTTGAATTTAATTTTATTTTTTATTAAAATAAAATCCATAATTCAAATTAAATTGGTTTGGATTTTTTGTTCATCCAAACAGGGCCCTTCCCGGTTTCAAACAGAAATAAACTGTTTTGGAATTAGTGCACACCCAAACAGGGCCCTTCCTGTTTTACTATCTGTTTGAATTTATTCAAATCTGTTTGAATTCAAAACCCAACAGGTATGATACCTGTTTAATTCAAAACCAAGAGCTACATACCTGTTTAATTCAGAACCAAGAGCCACCTTCACATCTATAAATAGGACCACCCTCATTTGATGTTTTGCATTCAGAAATTTCGTATTTCACTTATGTTTTCTATTCTTCATCTTGCTGCATTTTATTTCCGAAAGAAAGAGTGTAAACACTTAGTGTGTTCGTAAGGCAAACAATTAGTAGTGCTGCTATTGTTTGTGGAAGATCATTTCATCCTGGGAGATAGACGTCCGAATTCTGAAAGCACCGTGGAGAGGACGAATCTGTCTTAAGGACACAGTGTTAAACACTGGACTTGATCAGAAAAATAATTCGAAGAAATTAAATCAAGTAAGTTATTTAATTACTTTCAGTGTTGTTTTTATTTGTTTATTTATTCAGATTTTAATTTTGTTTTTGTAACAAAATAAAATCTGTTTTGTTTTTTATTTATATATTTTTATTTCGAGTTTGATTTTTGTAATCAAACATATTCTCTCCTTTACTCTATTTCTTTTATTCTTGTTGTTGTTTTGTACACAACAGAATTAAATCCGTTTAAATACAGTGAAGATTGTCCAACACTAATAAACTAAGCTACTCCATGAGGGACCTGTGGATGATTGATTGGTCCTAAAAGTAAAAGTTGTAACGACCCATCCTATGCCGGAAGTTTGTATGAACAATCTTTTAAGTATATAAACAGGAGTGGTGAATTCAAATGTGAAAAATCTAGATTTGGCGAAAAACTCTTTTAGAAAATCTAGATATGTCCCGTGTTAAAGTGACTATAGATTTAGGCAATCTAATTAAAAATTAAGCAATCATGATCAACACAAAGTGGAGAGAGTAAAAGAAAACAATCACGACACAAAAAAAAATTTACGTGAAAAAAATCACAATTGGAATCCGCCAGCTTGTGATAAAAATTCATGAGCCCTCGGTTACACAAATAATTCACTATGCAAGAAGGATAGTACAAGAGATATCTTACAAAGGCCAATCCAGACACACGAGTCCACTCCACGGCATATGACTTTGCTCAATCTATAGATACCTCCACAATCTCCACTAAATATCCACTTCCACAACGGTTTGTCGCATCGCCACAATGCCAATGACTTTGAAATCCATCGAAGCCTACAATCTTCGAATCCACTAAGAAGGTTCACTTTTGAAAGGGAGAAGAACTTATACAACTTGATGATTAGCTTTAAGGCTCCTAAATGCTAATGAAGCATCAAACAAATATCAAAGTGTTACAAATGAAACCTCACTACAAAGTTCACTCTCAAAACAAACAAACTCTCTCAAAATATCTCTCAAAAATAATTCTCACTCAAAATAATCTCTCAAGATTGGAAGTATTCAGTACATGAGAGAACACTAAAAAAAGAGTGTCAAATATATAGAAGGGATCCATCATAATACAACCAAGGGGTCTTTTAAATAGATCTGGGCAAGGCAAACTCACGGGCACAGTCTTCATGGTCACGGGCGCAGTCATGTTGATCGTGGGTGCAATGGACCTTCGTGGGATGCAGAGAAAAAGTACTGGGAGCATGATTTTCAATATCTACAAATCGCGAGTGCGAAGGTCTTGTTAGTAGGAGCAATGGTGCATGCTGGACCAACTGTTTTTGCAGACTTTTTGCTACTAAAAATCTCCTTGTTTGTTCCACATATTGCTAGACAAACATCCTCGCTTTTTGGCTGGAAAAAGTCATCATTCTCACACATGCTTGTCTATCAAAGATTGCCAACAAGATCAGCCAACAAACCATCCACAAAGATTGACTAATAAATTCAAAAAGAAAACTTTAGCAAACTTTAGCCCATGCTTATGCCAACAAGGTCAAACAATATCACACATGCCAACCCATCTTCGAGCCACCAAATTTGCAACTTACAATTTATAAAACCAAGAAGATAATGTACAAGAAATGAAAAATCCAACTAAGAGAGAAATAAAATGAAACAAATTTGTCATAGGATTTGCCAAAATAAATTGAAATGCAACAAATAATTAGGATGAAAATCCTAACAAATCTCCCCCTTTGGCAATTCTGTAACAAAACCCAATATCCTGCACAAAAATTGTTAGAACAATTTCACACGAGATATTGTGCCATGAATAAAATCAAAACCTTCCATAAAATATAACATCCCATAGCAAAAACAACCAAGTTGCATAATACTCCCCCTTTTTGTCCGGAAATGACAAAAGAAAAGTACACAAAAAA